AGTCTGACTCAGGTTCGAGGCTATGTTTCGTGCTTCTCCCACCGTCAGTCTCATTGAGGTGAGTGTAAGCAGACCTGAATTAGTCTTACGCGAGAAGCAGTGAAGGTGTAATCTTCCATTTGGGCTCAATATGAGCCCAAAAATCCTTAGTGAGACTGATAAAAGCCTAAATGGGTTTATGCTGGTCGGTTTTTGGGGTGAATTTATGACTGTTTAACTGAATTTTCGGCCAATTCTGAAGTAGTGACCAAAACATCAGATAATGGAATTCCGGTCTGAACTTTGATAAATACATGGATCTAGTAATCCATAGAATGTCCTGAAAGTTTCAGCCGAAAAGAATGTTCTTTCGTCGAGCCATTGGATTTTTGCGGTAAACTCGATTGTTATGGCGTATCTTTGGCAAGTGACTATTTTCTTGAACAATCAATGTCTTGTCAAAGGAATATTCTTTTTGGGGTGAAACTTTCAGTACATTCTAAGACTCATTAGATTCATGTATCGGTAAAATTTCAGATGAGAATTTCGTTATTTGTTTTTCTTTTGGTCACTACCTTAAAATGGGCCGAAAATTCTGCAAAACAGTCATAACCAGCTTTAAAGACGCTGAGCACGAACGCATTTAGTCTTGTACTAGTCTCAACAAGACTTTCTTATAGATTCAGTATGAGTTCAAACGGAATCTTACACCACGAGTGGGTCCTTTGTCAGCGCATACTTGTTTAGTTTTCTAAACATCCCTATTTTTTTCCGAAAACGCATCCGGTTTCATGACAAGACTTATAGAGTATCATATGCACGTTAAAAATCCTGTTTCATACTTAAATGGGATCTCCATTCACTACCGCCACTCACTGTATGTTTCCTTTTTCAAAGGTCGTATGTGGCTCGGTGAATGCGCAGTCTGTCTCAATCATGGCAATGAAGGTTTTCTTTATGCTTATGAAAATAGAACGCCTATATGTGGACATCCATTGTGCGAGGGTTGTGCAAACCGTACCTTAACAACAACACGAACCTGTCAAAAATGTCGACGATTAGTTTACAATTTTTACCGTGTCCGTATCACATAAAACAATAAAAAAAGCAATACAGCCAAGCTGTAACGCACACATTAATTTTTACAACTTACAAGTAGTCACTGCAATGTATAATGTTGCTTCATGAAATCTATATTGCTGAAGATATCCAACACAAGTTTTTATATTTGCGCATTCTCTTACATAGAAAGTGGAGAAAAACGAAAAAAAGTACTTATCTTGAAATATGATAAAACTCGGCAGAAACTGTCATCATTGAATCCCACCACTGATATAGCGCTGATAGTTGTATTTATTGAGATAAGATGAAGGGTGTTGGTGTGGGTGTGGGTGGGTGTGGGTGTGGGTGTGGGGTGTGGGGTGTGGGCTTGGGTGTGAGTGTGAGTGAACAATAAACACCCATACCCACACTCACGCCCACACCCACACCCACACCCGCACTCCACCCACATCCACACCCATACCCACACCTACACCCATACCCACACCAACACTCATACCCACACCCACACCCATACCCACACACACTCACACTCTCACACCCTTTCGTGCTGGAACGGTAAAATTTGCCGTTCTGTGAAATACAAAGAGATGCTTGGCTTGCTCGGCAATAACTGGAATTACTTGAACTCTAGATGAACCAGTACCGAAAATGGCAACGCGACGACCACTAAAGTTGACATCTGTTTGTGGTCATCGACCTGTATGATAATAATGTCCTTTAAAAGTCTCGAGTCCGTTGATGCGGGGAATTGAGGAGTCGAGAGACAACCCGTAGCCATAACGCAAAATTTAGTCAATATTCGATCACCTCGACTTGTTTGAATCTTCCATCGAGAGTGAGTCTCGTCGAAAATGGCAGCATTCACCTGAGTTCCGAGCTCAATATTTTTGCGTAAGTCAAATTTATCTGCCACATAGTTAAGATAACGTAATATTTCTGATTGAGTAGGAAATATTTCCGATCATTTCCATTCTTGTTGTAATTCTTCCGAGAACGAATACGGGTATTGCATTGCTTCAATATCACAACGAGCTCCTGGGTAACAATTCCAGTACTATACACCACCGATGTGATCGGCGACTTCAATGATCTTTGCTGAAAAACCACTTTCACGTAAACGATATAACATATAAAGTCCGGCAAAACCAACGCCTACAATCACGACATCAATCATATTCGATAATATTTCTTCTGTATTTTTGCCATTCTCTGCATCAACCATGTTGACAAGCGTACGCGTCGAGAGTGCTATAGAAAAAAAAAGAGAGGAGACCGCAATTTCTGGACTATGTTTTCAACACGAGATGAAAGAAAAGAAAAAAAAGACGAGCCCAATAATAAGGACGTAAAAAAATAAAGGAGAAAATGTACTATTTATCAAATACAAAGAATGTTTTTGATGTACAACGAGAGAGAACGATATCGTTCTGTTCCAAAACTCTCTGTACTATATAGAAGACATGATAATGTTGCATTTGACTCTCATCAAAATAAGCTAATCAATTGATTCGAAAAAAAAATAGATATTTTGCACAAATGCTACGCAACTTTTATTGTCCCTGCAAAATAGACTATTTCTATGTTAACAGCGACCTCCTTTGTCGAAATCAGTTAATCAAGATCGAAAATGAATTCAATTAAATTCACAAAGACAAATTCGACATAACGCAAAAAGCAATAATAATTAGCCGAAAACGAAACCTTTGACCGAAACAATTAAAAAATCTAATTGGTTCTCATCAATTATCGTCATCGAATGGCAATGGATCCATATTTCATTGCATATTATCCAAAAAGAAGGATGAATCAAAGAATAACAAAAGGAACAGAAAGAAAATATCGACAAGAGTAATGATGGAGGATTAACTGATAAACAGTAAGTATTACTCGGAATTGTAAATATTTTAAACTTCGTATGTCTATTCACTCATATTTAAATTTTCATGGATGTGTCGACTTGTCTATGAAGAAAAATATGTAATCTATCTCTTTCTCTACGGTCGTCAGAAGTGAACTAAACTCGATGTAAACCAACCAAACTCGAGTCCACCATATTATTTAATAGTTAAGTTCAGAAGTTAAAATTCAAGATAGTCAAAGTACAATTGCTCAATGTTATTCGATAATTCGTTTAGATAAGAATTTCATATTTCAAACTATAATGATCAAACTTTAATGTTTCTTTCAACTTTAATCGTACTTTCTAGTATCAGTTCATAAAATCTATCAAATTTGCTTTGTATTTGAAGAATTATTTTTATTCATTAATTTCGAAAATAAAAAATATACATTTACTATCAAATATCAAATATTACAAGAGAAGAATAAGGTAAAGAATTGCTGTTATGATCACAAGTTTTAGTTATATAAGGTAGCGGGAAAGAGTTCAACAATAAGATTTTATTGATTGTTTTTTGTATAATGTTAAGCATCTAGTGTAAACGTAGATTCTAAACTAAGATTTTATAGATGAACTATGATAGCAAGATTTCTGAAAAAAACTGAACATGGTAGTTTTCAGATTTTACCAGACAAAGTCGTATCTAGTTTTAAACAATATTATTTTCAAGAACACAGAATTTTAAAGAAAATGAGGATCACTGCTTTTCTTACGACTATTCATTAAAAAGTTAAAAGCATCACAAAAAACGACTTAACAATGTTTTAGTGAAGTCTTCGATAAGTTTCTCTGTGTTACGACTTTTTTGGTATTTCTAAATTTTTTAAGGAAGGTTATATAAAATGCAACGCTTCTCATTCTGTTTAGAATTTTGTGTTCTTGAAAATGACATCTTAAAAATAGCTATGACCAGCACTAATGGAACCAGAAAATTAACATATCCGATTTTTTGAGGAGTCTTGACATCATAGTTCATCTATGAAATCTAAGTATAGAGTACATTAGATAGAAAAGGCATATAGAAAAAAAGATTAAACAACATATGCTTTTGTTAAATTTTTTCCACCATCTTATATTATAAGAAAAAAAAATAGAAGGTTTTGTCCTGAAGAAATAAAACAAATTTTACAAGTATACCAAAAAATGTTACAAAAAAAACAGAAAAAGTAGGAAATACAGGACAAAAAAATAAATAAAATTAGTATTATTCATTTATCCGTTCTTTCATCGCATGTAGCTTGTTAATAATTAATTTTTATATCTTAAAAAGAAAAAAAAATAGAGTATCAAATAAAGGAGAGATTCTATGTAAATTTGAAGTAGAAATATATATTATTCTTGTCGATAATATTCGAGGATTGCCGACTGATAGTAATCTTTTTGACCACCGACCTTCCATAGTACTATTTTAATAAGTAAATAAAAGTTAGTTCAAATTTTTCGTCTGCAAAAAGAGAAAACTAAGAAGCCGATAAATGCTGTTTACGTTATATATCATTTATTTTCAAACTCGAATTAGGTATGTATTCTCACTTTCATGTGTGATCCGAAGTGAAAACTCAGAAATGCAGATATAACATGGAATTCCATAGAGATCCATGCAGATTTTGCGTTTTGTATTTTGTCAGTCGTAATGGTTTTGAATCGTTCAATAGACACTGATAAAGTGGAATACCAGGTAATGACTAACTTGTGTAATCAGGATTACATTTCTTATCTATCCTTTCGAGTGCTTAAAGCGTAATAATAAAGTCGAATTTCTTCTTTAGATTGCTGAAAAATGTGCGAGCATACTACACAGTCTTTATCGATACTGTGTATGATACATAAAATCTTCGCATTGCTATTAATTTTAATTCTGACAGAGAACAATGCTCGAGCAAACTCGGTAGCCATGACACTCAACATTAGTGAGTATGCTCTTGGACATCGTTGTGTTTGGTCAACATGCAATGTGACTGGTTATCCATCTACATTTCACGACTATAAGTTGGATTGCTGCAGCTTACCAGTGCCATTGAATTATGCTCGACCGAATCGATCCATCACCATTTCCATGTCTCGTCTGAGTCCTCTTCAATCAACATCAGAAAATAATACTCTATTTATTCTAATGGGTGGACCAGGTGGATCAGGTTGGAGTCTAATAGAAAATGCTGCATTACTCATTCCAGCTCAAGTTGGGATTACTCTAGTATTACCTGATCATCGAGGTACAGGACTATCGACAGTGTTGGGCTGTGATGATAATGATTCACAAACAATCACGACAGACTGTATTACTTATTTGATATCGAAATGGGATATCGAAGGATTAAATCAATTTTCGATAACAGCAGCTGCACATGATTTATCGGTACAAATTCAAGTCTATCAAGTCGATCATCCTGGACGTATTTCGATTTACAGTGTTTCGTATGGTACCCAATGGTTAGATCGTTTTCTACAGATCTATCCTACATTAATTCAATCAGCCATTATGGATGGTGTGGTCAATCCTATTTTGGCATCTAGCAGTCGTTATGATTTGTTTGCATCAAACGTTGGATTACAATTCCTAGCCTATTGTCAGCTACAACCAGAATGTCATAGCTATTTTCCAGCCGATCAACCACCTTATGTCATGCTCTATCGCATTCTAGCCGAGTTAGATAATAATAAGCAGCAATGTATCAAGAAATATTTCAATCAATATTCACTCAATTCCGAAAAGCTACGCAATTTATTTTTTAAGATGATCCAAATGGGAGAAACTTATATGGATCGTACTGTAATTCCAGCTATAATATTTCGTTTAAATCGTTGTAGTATAGACGATGTAAAGGTATTGAATTTCTTCTTTCGTTCAAATTTAAATAAGACTGATCGAAGGCAAACGAAAGAGAATAGTCCTGCATTTCTATTTTCTAAAGTTCTTAATTACAACATTATTCAATCGGAGAGATGGTTAGCACCAAATCAATCTGAAATCGACAAAGAAACTGTTCTTGTTTGGTATAATTCGGCTCTCATGACGCCAAACAATGCCGTCAAGTTGATTTCATTTCGTGCTCAATGGCCAAAATATCCTTTAGATCAATATTACGCGAAGGTGGCCTCGTATACACCATTGTTAATGCTTTCAGGTCAATTGGATCCGTCAACAACGTTCTATCTAGCTTCTCAACTCGCATCGATCACATCGAAAACACGAACATTCTATGCGATTCCACTAGCTGGACATGTTACTGTAAATATTGCCAAAGTTGGATTTTATTGTCCATTGCGTTTAGTGTGTGCATGGGCATTTCCAAATAATTTTCCGTCGGAATGGAATGATCCACAATGTATTCGCTATCTGCCAACTACTATTGATTTCGTCGGTGCTACTCCATTAGGACAAAAATATTCCATGAAACTCTTGAATATCAGTCGACCATTTGGAAATGATAGCTATGATCCGACTCCGAGTTCGAACTCCCACCTGAGAGAAAATGTTCCTTACTTTTCTCTGATCTGTCTATTCTTATATTTTCTATTCAGTACTTTTTTCGCATAATAGTTTTCTAGAAGACGCCTCATGATATTTTAGCCAAGTACGAAATCAATCCGAATAGTTCTCTTGATCTTTTCCTAAATACCAACTGATACTTCAGGATGTGTGTGGATGGAAAGTAGAATAAACCCATACTCAAACCTTAATTAGGAATACATCGAAATGGACGATTTTGAATGAGTGTTAGAGAATGCTCTAACAACATTCATCATGAATTATTATATATTTTATTCTTGTTCATATGTGGTGTGTGTGTATTCATTCTAATATACGTTATCCACTCTCCTACAAAAAGGTTAATCGTTTTTTTTTCTTTTTGTTTCTCTTTCTTGTTGCCTTCGTTCTTCAGAGTTTCAATATATTCTCAATCTCTTCTGTTCTAATTTTAAGTGCATTTAAATTGATTATTTTATTTGAAATATAAATCATTTCATGCTATTATTATCTTCAAATGATATTCATAATTCATAATCAATACGAATTTTAGTGTTTTATTGCGTTTTTTTTTATTTGAATGACATATTCATAGAAGCATGGTTGATGGTTGAATTTGTTCAACTTCATCGAATATCCATTTATTCATTTTCAAATAAAAGACAAATCTTATTTCATTTTAATATCAAATAGAAATTCTTCAGCTTTATTTTTACATTCAAAATTAATGATGATTTACATGATTAAATTGATTTAATATAATATTCTTAGTTTTTGACTTGATTTAAATATTTTCTTAAGATCTCTATAAGATTTGATTTTAAATCAAAAATATAAAAATAATAATAAGAATGATTGAGTGTCGCTCTAGAATCATATGATAGAATTTTCGATTTGATTTAAATCTTTTCAATAATAAGAAAAAAATGGTATGTATTCGATGTCTTTGTTATTTTTGTTGTAATAAATTAAATTTTAATAATATTTAAATATAAATACTATTATATATATTTTCATATCATCAATTTCAAGTTTTAAAATACTATCAATTGTCTTTGTTTTCATGGTTGTTTTCATTAAATAATTTGAATATTTTCTTTTCTAATTCTTTAAATTATTTTCTTTTTTGTTTTCTACAATTAATCTCTATAATTTATCATTTAGTCTGAATCTTCTTTCAATTAGATATCATTTTCATTATTTAAAAAATCTACATTTCATATAGAATATTTCATAAGTTCTTACAGCAGAAATACAAAATTTGTGTACTATAAACTTAATTTATCTTATATAGAGTACAGTAGAATAGAATAGATTCACATTCTAATGTTCGGATAATTGTTAATGCTAAAAAAAAGTCGATGGCTGTTATATATTATTGCTATTGCTCATATTAATATTGAACTTTTATTATTAAATTTTAATTTTGTTTTAATAAATATTCAAGAATTATGTTTTGTTTATTTAATTAATTGATGAAATATATTATCAACGATTTCTAACACTTGATTTATTATAACAATTATTATAGCATGATCTTCATTTTATTCTATAAGTTCAAAATCATTTATTGATCAACAATTATAATATTAGAGATAAGAAAAAGATAGACATACTTCAATATCTGATGAAATTTAAATTTCTATTTATGTCATCGTCTATGGAACTAGTGAGACTAGTGTATTTATTCGAGTGCTTTTCTGAAGATTTTTTTTTGTCATCCTTTCCGAAGAAAAATTCAACATACATTTAAAATAGTAGTGATTTTTTGAATCATTATTTGTATCTAAATAAGAATAATACACGGTGTTTCAAAAGTCCCTGAGAAAAGTAAATTCTACGAACTCCTTTATTTGTCAAAACGAATCAACCAATTTTATTTCATATGATAGGCATCATC